TACATAATTTAAAAAAAATGCACGTCTTCATGTTTTCATTTTCTAACTGTGAACTGTTTTACATTTAATTGTTATTTTATTTGATTTTATTATTAAAAATAATTGATGTTTACTATATTGACATTCGTATTAATTAATAATTGCTAGTTTTAATGTAATTATATTTATATACATTAACTGATACCTATAAACAAAAAGTGAGGTTAATCCAAATTAAATACTATAATTACGTTCACGTGTTAGATGTAATAAAAAAGATATAACCACTCACTTCTGTTAGAAATTCATTTGAATTATAATAAGTCCTTTTATATTGCCAGTCAGTTTATTATTAAAATATTATTATTTTTTACGTCACTATTGAATTATAGAAACAAACATTGCTATAAAATTTCTCTCATACGTCGCCGTCGATAGAAATGATTCACTTCAATAATAAATATGTTATTAATTAATTATTTAACTAATATTTTACTTATTTATTTAATTAATTAATATTAAATAAATAATAATTGCAAAAAAATAATATTTTTACTGCGCATCTCTGATATAAAATATAACCTCTACTTACGATTTGGTGAAAGGCGCAGTTCGATCACAACACTATCACACCAAAAATTCTTGATTTAAGTGAATATTTAATTCAGATTGTATAATAATCAGAATCAGATGCAATTTTTTTTGTAAATAAACAATGTAATTTGGAACGAAATTGTTTCTCATGTGACTGCGTCATTACTATTGCGGTTGTCAGCGAGTGTTTTCCTCGCTTCTGGCAGATGGCGCGGTCACTGGTACACAGCTGATCGTTAAAAAAACTGTTTTCTCGAGGTCGCAGATATGTGACTAAGCAAAAAATAGATAAAAACAATCCTTGATGCGGATTTTATATCATGTTAAAATTTCAACTCAATCGGTGCAGAACTTTTTGAGTTTTTGAAGCATACACAAATCAACATAACATTTTTATATATATAGATTAACTATCGGGATATTTCTTCTGCGGCTAAATACTACCGCCGAACTTTTAGGCGTGCTAAGTGCCAGTCCATGATTTAAGAGCCATTGGTTAAGAGATGCTAAAGAAATATTTAGTTGTTTCGCTAAATCCTCAATAGACGGACCGCACTGGTAAAGTACAATGTTGTCCGCGTATTGGAGAATTTTACAATCGTAGTTAAGATATTTGTGGAGATCCTCCGTATATAAGTTATATAGTAGAGGACTAAGTACCGAGCCCTGAGGGAGGCCCCTCCATGCCGTCCTCTCCACAGCTGTCTCATTCGGCATTCTTAGATGGAGTGCGCGTGCAGAAAGCATATTGCAAACGATTCGTGTAATCTTAGCTGGAATTCTCAGCTCAAGTATCTTCTGCTTGAGAACGGAAAGAAGAACATTGTCGTAAGCAGAAGAAATATCCAAAAAAACCGCGACAGCGTGATCATTGTTACTAAGGGCCAGTCTTATGTCGGATGTTAGAATACTGACGCTATCCGCCGTACTAAGACTCTTTCTGAAGCCGAACTGGGATCTAGGGAGAAGTTCTCTATTTTCCACTAGCCACACTAGGCGGTTCTTGATTAGATGCTCCAGAATTTTTAAAAACAGTGATGACAAAGCAATGGGTCTCAAATTTTTATGGTCATTACGGTCGTTGCCTGGCTTAAGTAAAGGTATCACCAATTGAACCTTCCAGGCATGGGGAACAAATTCGCTCTCAAAACAGTGGTTAGCTAAGTTAAGGAGGTATTGACGACAACCCTGATTGGCCTTGGATATAAAGGAGTATGGGAATCCTAGGTGCTGAATCCTGGACATGATTTAGAACGGTTAACATTTCATTCATGGTGAAGGGGAATCAAATGGGTCACCCGATGAAATTGGGAGTGGTTCAACCACCTCACTTATATATATTCCTTTTGGGGGATTTGGTTGAAAACCTTGTCTAAAACATTTTATTTTGTTCCAAACAATGGAGATCGGAGTAGTAGGGTTAAGAGAGCTACAAAAAGATGACCAGCTTTCTCTCTTTTTCTTTTTTAAAAGTTTTTTACATTTTGCCTCAGATTTTTTTTAGTTAATAAGATTAGATATGGTCTATTATTATTAGTATTGCACTATTGTATTGTCTTTCTGCCTTCTTTCTTGATTTGATCATTTTTGTGCACTCGTTATCCCAGCAAGGGGGGTATGCTATTATACCTGATTTAGGTCTTTTCATCGGCAAGCAGTCATCCGCAGCCGAGGCGATAATCACTGAAAAAGCTGAGAAACACTCCTTATAGTTACTGTCTGTAACTAGAGGGAGTGATGCCACTCTGGTATCAAGAATTTTTGAGTATAGTTTCCAATCGGCAGAGTTCAGTTGGTATTTAAGTAGAGGCGGAGGCTGATCCGGAGGGGCCTCCCTAGAAGGGGCGCGAAAGTGATCACTTCACTTCCCTATTATCATAAGCGTATCCATGAGACATTTTCAATACATCCCATTCGAATAAGCTAGCTATAGAGGCTGAGCAAATGGTCAGATCTACACAACTTTTTTTCTGTCCTGGAAGCGATCTACGGGTAGGCCTGCCATCATTTAGGACACACAGGTCAAGTTCATCCAAAATATCAGCCAATCCCCGACCAAAAGAATCGCAATAATCAGATCCCCATCTGAAGTGGTGGCAGTTGAAGTCTCCCAAAACCAAAATGGGTCTAACAAAACTAGTTAAAAGTTTTTTAACAATAATTAATTCTTGAATGACTGGGTGAGCAATACATAGATTGAAATTACAGTAATATTGTCAATTTTAGCAGCAACGACATTAATGTTGTCACTCAGAAAGGGAAGTGAGATTCTGGAGTATGGAAGTCGGTCCTTAATGAACAAAGCACTTCCGGCTCCACATTCATCACCTCTATCATGACGTACGCATAAAAATTGGTGAATGTTAAAATTTTCGCCTGGCTTAAGCCATGTTTCTGTAATACTACAGACTGATGGTTGGTATTTATTACATAGGTATATCAATTCATTTTTCTTGGAAACAATGCTCCGTGCGTTCCACTGCAGAAATGTCAGGGGAGGGAAGGTCATGGATGAAATCTATAAATGATAGCAGTTTGCTGGCAACGTGGTCAGGTATATAATGGTTTGGGTTTGATAATGCGGTGTTGATCATCGATGAGATAAGGGAAATTATATTTTCTGGATTATTAGTGCTTTGGGGTTTGTCCTTCGGATATGCACATCCATTGTATGAGGGAGAAAAGGAATATTCACGTGTGAGGGATTCATGTGCCCTTTTATCATAACTAGGGGAAAGTGGTATCCTAGGTTTCTTTTTTATTATTACAGATTTATTAGAATGTCTTTGAGGTTGAGTTTGGGATGCTTGTGTAGGCATAGGCTTTCTAGTTACTTCAGCAAACGGTCTAGATATTGTTGGCACGTTTTTGCTAGCTTCAGCATATGATATAGATTTATCAGCCATGACCGCCTCAATGCTTTTTTGGCGTCCATGTTTCGGGAATATTGAAGAGTTAGTGGCATAATGTTGTCCCGAGCAAAGTATACAAAATGACTCCGCTTCTGGAGTTGCACATCCATCACCAGGGTAGTCAATGCCACAACGGAAGCAGAGAGGCTTAGAACGACACTGGGCCCTGGTATGACCAAATCTACAACACTTAAAGCATTGTATGGTAGGGTACATGTATCTATCCACAGGAAGGGCAGAATAACAACAGAATACTCTCTTGGGTAATTTTGGCCATCAAAAGTTAGAACTACTGTCTGAGTCGGTTTCCACTCAGAACCATTTTCAGGAGGGGGGTTTTACGATTCATTCTACGCGCTTTTATCACTTCTCCACAACGAATTGGTACTTTAACATTTGCTATAATTTCTTTTTCTGTCCATTCTGTGGGCACATCCCTGACTATTCCCATTCGGGCAACATGAAATTGTGGAATGCTGGCAGAATACCTATTAATGCTTAATAGAGGGTTGATAAGGAAGCTATTTGCATCCTGATAAGTCACAAATTCCACTGATACCTTAGATAAAAACAAAAAGGGTAGATACGGCACTAGCCTCACAAAAGTGATCCGCATGAATTGTGGTCCACTCGCTTTAGTCACAACTTGACATGCGAACGACGTACATGTGGACGCCAAAAAGAAATATTGCTAATATTTTGTGTTTATATGATAAAACAATGCCTAAGTGTGTTTTTAAAAAGTGCTCAAATTGCTCAAGAACTAAAAATAACACTCACAGCATCACTTTTCATTCGTAAGTCCTATAAAATATTTTTTTTCATAAAAATTGCTGTTTGTTTAATCTTATTCGGTAGTGACGTCGAGTACTGGTCGCGTGATTGGTCGGTAGTGCAGTGACGCGGATCTCGCCGTCTCGTTCGCGCTGCCGTTGAAACTTATTCATCAACACTTAGGACACGGATTATGACACAAGTCAATGGAAAACATGCAAAATTTCAGGAAAGGAAGGGTAATCGACTTCAGACCAGGCGAGCAATCTCTTCACAAAAACATGTTATTCAAATAAAATATTCTTACATGACATGACATTTTTGAATGACGTCTTAGAAGGGCTGCCAGATCATGTTTTTTTCCGGTGTGACCAGATTATTGACTTTGCAAAGTTATCGTGATTCGATTTTAAGTCCTCACAGTGCGTGTCTGGTGACCGGTGCAGGAGTATAATCAGGTTTTTACTAGGTAGCGCCATGCTCATTTCATTGAACCTCTGGGGCTGGACTAAATGGGCGGGAGGGGTCTTCAGATACTCTGTTTGCGGTTCTCGCGGTGGTTCAGGGAGACTTTTCGAGATATTATAAAACAGTACCTAACCGGCTTTGGCAGTGGCTTTAAAAAGCTGCCGCTCAAATTGCCAAAAAGACAATCCTTCGAGATTTGAACGGCAGCCAAGTATTGTAAGCGGCCAATGTTATTGTTACAAACAGGTGATTAAGTAATTGAATATCAGTAATCAATGTCAAAATTCTATATCTATCTTATATTTAAAATATTAACGTACAAGGTTAAATTTTGTAAACTTCGTTCAAAATGAATTCATAGGCTGTAGTAGATATGCACCAATTGTTCTGCCCTGTTTGCTTAGAAAAACGTGTTTATGTCCCTGTCCAGGTATACCGCAGCTGACGGGTTTCGAGTTATACCTTCCGACGCCTGGCCACACAATTACTCGCTGGTAGCCAGGCGGCTTGTCGTACGAACTGTTGAAACCTCTTATGTTCTGTTTGAATACTCTGGGCTTGTTTATGTTCAAATTAGCCGGACCTGGCTCTTCCCGACGCTTCAGGCACATCGCAATGTCCACCAATGCATTCCGACCTCTGTACGGACAATCTCTGTTCGTCTTATTCATCGTTCCAAAATGGCTGTTTTTGTACTTCTCCAGAGATCCCTTCAGTGCCAGTGGCCATGTAGCAGCAGAGCACTTCAATGTCGTGTTGAAATGGTTTTTGATAGTTGAACCATCTCTTTTACCTGTAAAGAGATCGTAGGGACCTCTTAGAGAGACTACTTTCTTAGATTTCTGTTCGATGCACTCCTTATCCACGATCATATAACGATTAGGTGCCAGCGACCAGTTAGGACATTTGTTTTTAAATCGGCAAGGTTCTTCCCGTTCAAAAGATGGGCGTACTGAATGGGAACCACATGGCGCCTTAAAAGGAGTAGCTTTATAGTATGTTCCCGGACCGGGTATAACGTTCTTCGACGGCTTGAATCTAGGAGATCTTCCAAAACTTAGATTTTTGCAAGCTGGTTCGTATCCACGAGGCTCGCTTACTTCTGTCCAAGCCGGACCCAATATAGATTGCTGCCATCGTCGCCGGGCAAGGATAGATTGGTTCCTGTAGCCCAAATTTATTGCCCATTCTTCAAGCTCTTTTTTGTATCTCCACGGGTCTAGCACAGATCCCCTATTTTTGTTTCCTTCCAATATTTTATGGAGAGGTTGTGGGTGATAAAGGCATGGATCGCAGGCTGCAGGGCGCACAGTATAAAGTCCACTGGGGTCTAATCCAGGATGAACTGTGATTTTGCCAAATCTTTTTAAATTGGAGCCAAAAGCTACCTCAGTTTGTTTTCCGAGCGCCATTTTGTATAAAAATACGAAGTAGGTAGGTATACTTTTGAAAATACATGAAAGTTTGTTATAAATATCAAACAGAAATCCAAAATCAGTGATTGAATGAACATTTATTTGACAACAAAGATAAAGACTTACGCACAATGACTTATTCATAGATTTCAGTAACCATTGAGAAAACATGATTTATAACCAACCTATTGCGTATGCTCAAGGAAGTTATATACCTCAAAATTTCTTGGGTGTGCTTTCGTACACATTATTTGAAATCATAGATATAGATATACTTAAACTTAAACGTAATAAAACAAAACGAGCTAGTATCCTAAGGCACAGCGGATTTGCCGCTAAAATTGGAGCGCTCGTCTGCGGAAGCAGCTTTCATCTTACAGAAGACAGTAAAGTAACACTACCTTTTGGTGGTGATGTGATTCTGCTGAAACTACTCAGTGAGGAAAGTCTTAGTCAATTCATGTAGGTACCAGTAACTATTCTGTACAGATTCTAATATATATTTAAATCGTTTTAAAGAGATGGACCCAGTGTTCTCTTTAATAACGTCTTCTCTTTTTCTCAAACTTCATGTTCATTACAGTATCTACAACGTAATCTCACAATATTGCTTCTATTCCATAGCGTGCGCTCCACTTAATTTCCGAGCAACAAATATCCGCAAAAAGCTGCTGAGTTAGATTCCTAAACGTTATTTCATGTGAAGTAAAGGAACGGTTTGACAGATTTGACACAAAGAGAGAGAGAGAAGCGGGAGAATGAGGCTTAATGGCGCGCTAACTATAATACATAGCAAATGTGTGTGTGTTAGATTCCTAAACGTTATTTCATATGAAGTAAAATAACGGTTTGACAGATTTGACACACACAGAGAGAGAAGCGGGAGAATGAGGCTTAATGGTGCGCTAATTATACATAGCAAATGTGGTGTGTTAGATTCCTAAACGTTATTTCATGTGAAGTAAAGGAACGGTTTGACAGATCTGACACAAAGAGAGAGAGAAGCGGGAGAATGAGGTTTAATGGCGCCCTAATTATACATAGCAAATGTGTGTGTGTGTGTTAGATTCCTAAACGTTATTTCATGTAAAGTAAAGGAACGATTTCACAGATTTGACACAGAGAGAGAGAGAGAGAGAAGCGGGAGAATGAGGCTTAATGGCGCGCTAATTATACATAGCCAATAATGTGATTGCTGGAAATTAAACTAACTGAAACCAGAAAGTTACTCTTTTAGTATTACCACACACACCTTGTGCGTTGAGTACGTGACAAGTCCTCGGTGGACATTTTTTTCATTATACGGGGATAAAACCTTACGGGGATACCCCGCAAATTCGTTTGCATTTTTAATTAGTTTTTGAGAATCCCACAGGAACATAATTGTTTATGGAATAAAAAGTATCCTTTTTTTCAATCGAGGCAATAAACTATATGTGTGCTAAATTTCATCCAAATTCGTTCAGCCGTTTTGTGTTTGAGTAACAAACATACAATTATTATATGAGATATGTGATATGGCTAGTTTAATCTATTCTGCGACCTAAATCAATACGCATTTTTTTCTGAATTCGGAAGTTAAACGATTAAGGTCACACTCAGGTACATCAATAAATTTAACGGTAGTAATTTATTTGAATTTATAATTTTATATATTTTTGATTTTTTAAGCATGCATGCTGCAAAATCCACGCTGACCAGGCAGCAGACGGGATTCGAACCCGCACCCTTCCGGGCGGATGCACTGACCAATTATTAATCTAATCTATTTTTTTGTTTTGTTTAAGTTTTCTTTTATTTACTTATCGGAACAGTGACAAATAATTTAGTGTTCCGAAAGTTACATAAGTAAAAAGAAGCCTTTTGAACACAGAGGGTTAAATTAAAATGGCTATCAAATCAAAACCACAAATGTATACAATGCACTTTATTTTTTATGAATGACGAATAACATCTTTAAATAATAAATAACACCAACCAAAACATAATTATGATAATAATGGAATTTATGGTAAGCTAAAATAGTCTAACCATTAATTTCTAAATAAACTACAAATAAATAAATTATTTGTGCAACGTATGCTTGTTTTGTTTTCTAGGACATAGTAGACAATAGTATTTCTAATGAAATCTTTGTTTCACGAGTGATTTCTTCCTCGGTTTCTTTTAAAGTACATATAATACTGACTGTTGTGCTGTTACTGTATGTACGTAAGTATTCTTTAAATTATTTTCCGTGGTGCTTATTTTGATAATGATGAAAAAAAAAACGAAGTTATGTCTACAAGTTTATGAGAAAATATTTGTCGCTTTTTTATTGAAATCTAGAATGTTTTTATTGAATATTATTTTAGAAGTTGTTAAGACAAATTCAATTTTACAAGAGAGATATTAGCTGTCTGATTGTTTAAATATTGTAAGTCATGTTTTACGCTTAAGAGCGCTTTCAGACGACAAGCGTCCGCATAGCGCACGTCACGCGCGTCACCATCCGCGTCTAACTCTATTTGAAATTAGTTGTTTATAATATCAGTTTTATGACACATCAATAAATCCTGCACCCACCCCGCATACGCTTTCCGCCCACGCTATGAATAGTGTACTTTACATCTAGTGAACGAAGTAGTCCTGTCACTAGTAATATAAGCGGGCGCGAGGTGTGCGCGAGGCGTGTGCGAGTCGTGCGCCGATTTTGCGCGTGATCGACATGTGTCATCTGAACACACCCTAAGGACATGCTTGTAGTTTTTCACAGCAGCGTAAAGTACCTATGCTATTATTTTTATTATGAATGCTATAAAGCAATAAAACAAACACGTCATCTAGTTGCCTAAGCGTTATCTAAATTGTAAATAAACGTAGTGGACCCTTAGGTATGTTATAGTTTATATTATTATTATATTTGCTACTTTACGAGAGATTTCGTAAAATACTAGAAATAATTGTTGTTGCTTTTGCTTACCAGACAAAAGAAAAACCAAGACAAGAGAATTGTATTAATAATATATCGTTTTCGTTTTAGGTTGTCATGCGCTTTACGTTAAGTTTGTGTAAAATTTTTATTTCCTATTTTGCCAAATTATCTATAGGAATTTTACATTTGTTTTTGGTAAATGGGAGAGAAAGCAATAACATTTTTTTGATTAGGTAGTAATCCAAGATCCCGCCGATCGATTCTGCAGCCATCGGCTATTTTAACAAAACTTAATTTAATCAAACAGCCGCAACTTTAGGTTTGCCATTTGTAATCAGGCAGTACATTAATGTTGATTATTTGAGAGCTGGCAACCATCGTTTTTTGAGTTCACATCAATTCCTTTCAAATGACGTAAAATTTATATATTAAAAAAAAAACATTATTATGGATCAAAGGAGACCCGGCACTTTTCATAGAAAAAATGCTAAACTTGTATACAGTTGAATTTGGTCTCAAAATAAAGCCAAAATTATTTGCTACATTAAACTACTTTTGCCTTATTTTTAGTGAATCGTGGAAAGAAGTTATTTAATGATTAATAGTTTTTGATATAGAAACCCTTTTGATGACAAACCTACGTATTTGACATTGACAGCTAGCTGCTGATGACGAATATTGCCAGACTACATTACCCAATTATGAAACACAGATAAAAAAATTAAAAAAGTATACAACTTTGGCAGAAAATGCCGGGTGTCCTTTACATAAATAAATGGATGTCATTAAATTTAATTAAAGGTTTTTGCGGCTACGTTTTAGGCAACCGGTCACTAGTGATGTATACTCACTAATAATTCACTTTAATTAAATTTAATAAACAAAACAGATGGCTGCAGAATTTAGCGTCGGGATCTTGGACTAAGACAGGTTAGTTTTACCCTACTGATGGCTTGTCGCTGCGATAGTAATACTGCTCAGTACGAGAGGAACCGCAGTTTCGGACACTAGATAAGTATTATTTTAATAAGCACTCGAAAGTACTTAATAAGTCCTGGTTTGTAAAATGGCACATATTTTATTCCGATGATTTAATTTTTATATAATAAGTTAGGATGTTTTTATTTAATTAGTATTGCTGTATAGGTCAATAAGCACCGAAACCAATGTGATTGAATAATGTTGAGTAGGTGTTGTATTAGGCCTTTAGAAAGTAAGGGTCATTGGAATTCTTCTGAATCTCTGCCTACCCTACTCCAAGTAAAGTGACCTTATGTAGTTAGGGTTTCTTAATATTTTATCCTCTATACGGATATTTTAAATTTTATTTTATTGAAAGAGCTTATCGTTTACCACTAGGACGGACAGCACAATTGTGAAATAATTTAATAGTACCTATACCTTACCTTTTATAATCAAGGAGAACTCGATATTGCTTTACTGTATGGTCAAAAGGACAACTTTTCAGCACAGACGCAAATAAAAACAATTTGATGTAAAAAAATCACCGTTTTACCATCAGTATCCAACGTGTAGCAACAGTGTGAATAAATATAATAACGCTAATTTTACATTACTCCATAGTACTAGAATATTAATTTATATAATTCATGCAATATTTTTACTTACTTTGTAGGTACTTTTGGTACACGATAATTGCTTATTAGGAAGGAATAAGTGAATTAAAAATTGACATACTACATTAAAAAGGTAATTTTTATATATTGTTAACATTTTAATTAAGTTAAGACCTAAAAATATATGTCGTATCGTTACATAACTGAATTAGGTTTAGTCGAGAAGATATTTATTTTATTTTAATAGGTATTCATTCAAAGGTTATCTTAATTGAGTTGGCAAACCTGAACTGCGTACGTCTTACCAATGTAATAATTAAGAGCCTCCTACTCTAAAACTTGCGCGGGTGCACCGAGCGGTTGTCTGCGCTGAATCTGAGACAGAGCGACAATCTGAGACGGACAAAAACTGCACAAAAACTGGTTAAATCTATTCGCACGCGGTCGAGCCTGGTGACGCGAGCGTGCTCCCGAGCGAGTTTTAGCCTAGGGCCTAAAGGTTAATTTCAGTCAGGTACAGTATGACCATAAAATTAGTAATCTAGTTAACCTTCGTCTTACGAAACTTACGAAGGTCATATTAAAATAAAAACTTGTTTCTTGAGACGGTATCTAGACCTAGTACAAATAGGCATACCAAAGTACTAACATTACTCCCCTAAAAAATTGCAGTACGGAACGGTGACTTCTGTGGCGCTTGTGTTTATATTGACACGCACGATACACGTACCTTCACAAGAACTTCATCGGTGCGCTTGTAACATATTAGAATATCATTAGGTTTAATGAGATAGTCTTTAAACGTTATTAATATCTATACTTGCTTGCATTTCAGTACCTCTAGCGCTAGCTTTACTCATTAAAATGGACTTAATTGTGAATGAACTTCCAAACTGTATTAATGTATTAAAATACATTTTTATTAGGAAAACAGATTTATTTTTTCAAGGGTCTGCATAAGTAAGAAAAACGTTGCTTAGCAAAGATACTAATGTTTTTCCAATTTTTAAAAGCTTTTCTGTTTTCTGAGCTTAATTTATATTAATAAGTCTGTCTTATCCTCGATACGTTGTTCTTAAGATATAGGTACCAAAACATTTTATAAGATCGTTATTTTTAAATAAGTATTATTTTGCTTTTTTCCTACAAATATTGTATTATCATTAATTCGAACAGACATGGTTGTTGCCCGTGGTTTTTTTAAATAAATCGAGGATAGTCTTGTAATAAAATCTGTACTTTCAGTTGATACAAAATAGTCTTATTCTTATCACATTTAAATTAGAGTCAAATCCATTTAATTTTGAAATACTGATTTTGATAGGTACTGTGTAAATTAAGTTAGTTTAGTGCATGAATCAGTTTAAACTAAATTTTAACAGCATAACGCCAAACAAACCGTCGATGGCGATACATTAGTCCATTTTACAACATTATTAACTAAGCTCCTTACCGCCTTGAACTGAATAAGCTAAGCGTAGGGTAATAAAAAATCTTACAAATGTCGCGATCTCATGAAGTACGTCTACGTATTGTGGAATATTTAATTGGACTCTCATTTCAGTGACTTTTCAGTACTTACCTATATTATTACTTACTGTAAGGCAAACTTAGTTATACATGTCGTCAATACCCATCTTTACCTTGTTTATATTAAGAAAAAAGTATGTTTGGCCCACCTTCTTTAATATATATATATTAGACCTTACTTGTCATACCTACAGGTAACTAATTTATCGATTTTAGTAACTACATAATATGGTTATTGGGGCTACCAACTTTTTCCTTCTTATATCCAAAGTAAAGGCTAGCGTATATGTCTCAGCTAAACTATCACTCTCACGCACTACTCGATGCATCACATATTTAGTAATCACCATTATTCTACTGCTATTGGTAATATATATGTTTGCAATTCGACTAGATTCTCCTACACTCTATCTAAACGCCCTAAAATCTTACTCAAATAGGGTCCGTTGCTCACGTTTGGAATACGTAAATTTAGATATCACTTTACAAATAAAAATAAAAACTATACGAGACATAACGTGACAATAATAGAGGAATTTATAATTATCAAAACTACTCTTAATACTCAGGGACTTTACTATAAACTCTTCGCGCGGTTCACAAGCGGTTCAGCTATGGCTCAGCTGCTGAAACGGTTCCCCCATGTGCATTTTGCGCTGCGTGTCATATTTTATTCTATAGTAGGGTCCCTTGTAAATGTAAAAAAAAACAACTTAACTTTACTACGAGTAATTATTACAAATAGACAATTTATACATACGTCAATGTACAGATTTACGAAATTATTTTATTTACTTAGGTAGATAGCCAAAAATATATCATCAGTGGGTACTTTGTGATGTTTAGTCACTTGTTTTATCAGAAATAAAAATGTTTACAACTGACATAAATTTGTTACTTTTTTTGCATCTCAACATAGAGCAACACGTACTGATAGCGTCTGTATTGCTCCATGTTACTCAAGCATCACGCGTAGTAAGTAATGCATTAACATATTTGATAAGTTCTGTAGAAATATCTACAGCACAATTTGCTTTCTAATAATTCATCTAAAACTAGTGCATATTTCGATTCATACACAGCCGTAGATAGCTCTACATAAAATTATCATAATTTCGAACAGTTCAAAAATGTATTTGTGTTCAATTGAATTGATTATAAATTAAACACTTAAATTACCAAGCCTAAAATAAGAACAATTACAATTATTCGCATTTTACAGGTGACGCAAATATGCCTAATAATATAAACAGTTCGTTGTAACACTTCGTTATTTTCTTAATCGTTGTTATTTTTTACGTTAAATTTTGTAACAAACCGTGCTATTACCTATTACATCAGACAATATTTAATACGATAATTCACCAGATTTTAGGACCGCTTTAGTATTTATTTACGAGGTTTATTCATTATTATTTTCAAAATTCAATTCAATATTTGGTGCTCATCATTACATTAGCAAAAGGAACTCAAATCCTAAAGCTGTTTTAAACGAAATGGTTACAAAATGAAATCTTTCACTTATTTATTATTGCTATTACACTATACACGCTGAAATTTTAATGGTTTAAATAACAATTTAATAGGACGGCGTAATATATTCCGTTTCGTTTGACTGTTATTATTGAGGAGCAAAAAGCAGACGCAAAGCGTTAGTTATTAATTTCTCTATGACCATACCGTTGCTATTACATTTTTAGATAACATCGTCTAGTAGTATATAAGAATGTCTCTTTTTAGCCTTGCTGGTTAAAAAGAAACATTCTTAAGTCGGCGTCTGACGCTAGACGATAGCCCCGAGTGCTTATTAATCAGTTCATTATTCACTCATTGCGACAAAATGGACAAAATATTCCATTTTTCTTTTCCCTTAAGTAAAGACTATCTTAAACATTTTTTAACCATTGAATGACTATTATATCTAACGCTGTTAATTTAATGAATATATATTTTATTATATTATAAACCTTTATTTTTAAATCTTTGCGGCTATGCTACTGGGAGCAAGGAAACCACTAAAATTTCATCTTGTATATTTCTAAGTTTATATTGAATGAATGCATTTATAATTATGTAATAAAACGATGTCTTACTTTTCATCACAATATTACCTTATTTTTATTGCTCGTTAGTAGATTATCACATATATTTATTGTAAAGTAGAAGAAGTTGGTGGTTTATAACCTTTAGACTATAGTGACTGAAGATTTATATCAATAATGTGAGAAAACTCATTGAATTGATGAAATCGCCTTAAGATATAAGCCCAAAAGCCAACGTCTTCAACTTTACCTAAGTATTAGTTTGACCATCACTATCATTATTCCATTGTCAATATTACGACTTGAATGACCGTCATTGTAACTTTCTTTAATTCTAAGCGATAATTTTATTCAAATAACGAAACAATCTAAATATCACTTCGTTGCAGTCTACTTATATTAGCCGAGTTGGTTAATATTACAATATATTTCAAATGCATCAAATCCATAACTAAATCTAACAAACTAACATTATTATAATAGTATATTGCTTTAGTATTGCTTTTCTTACGTTATCCGTAATTTTTCTAAGCGCTATTATCATAAAGTGGATCCAAACATTGCATGGCAATTATGCTTGTTATCTATGTTGCGCGGCATATAATCGGTTTATTATTATTCAGTCATCATTGAAACTCATTTCATCGTTATCAAGGGAATGCCGCGATATGTTTGGATCCACATTCATATCAATTATAATTCTAAAGTATTTATTGCTTATGTATTGCTAATTTGGACATTTTCAAATTTTATCACTGTTTTGCATTAAACTTAATCTATGCTTTTAACTTGCAGATTCGTTTGATCATGTCCTATAATTTATTATTTTTTGGACTGAACGTAGACGGATGCCTTTCGTTCTTATGTAAACTCTATGACTGGATTATAAGGTGCATTATCAACATACGTCTACGTAAAGTTCAACGAGGAAATGTTGTCCAGATTTTCGGAGGATGTCAACGTTGACCTAGATCCGGCTAGTTTGTAAAATATCAACGTGGCAAGTAATTGACTTTGGTGATAAATATTGATGCTGTGTTGTGTGCCAGTTAATCACTGGAGCACAGTCAGTTGATCGATAATGTAACATAGGTAGTTGTGCACAAAATTGATTTTTCGTTAGGTTTAGTTTTTCTAAATTAGCCTACAGGTCAAACGTGGTGTTTATTTTAGGATTATTACTGAGTCCCTCATAATCTATCTTCCTACTTTGTATTATATTAAGACAATTTTCCGAGGTCTGACAAATAAGATGCGAATTTTCTGGTTATGTTAAATCTAGGAATAGTCTTATATCTATCTACTAAATTGTTTCTTCACTATGTATAAATATGTAATTATAACGTTATTTATAATGTCTACAGCTACAAAAATTGTAAAGAAGGGAAATTTGGTACACAGGGATATATGTACAATTTAAATGTATATGTTTTTGTATATAAGATTTCGTTAATATTAGTCGTTATATAACTTACCTTAATTAGAACACTACAATAACGTGAATATAATATAAATATTTGAATAAAATATCTCAATTTAGTTTTTAGAAGCAATTATTTTATCATTTTCTACGAAAAACTTGGGACAGCTAGACGTTACAAAGAATAAATACGCGAAGGGTAATACTACATCTACTTATAGCGAATTTTGAAGGAGTACAGGTAGACAATAAGGGCTATTAAACGGATTGATACTTAATAGGAAACGCATAAAATTATGCTATCAATAAATATAATTTTGACAAATAAGTATAGTCGCAATATAATAATTATTCGATGTATGTTTCGTTTCAAAATTTCAATAAGTACTCCAAAGCACCAAAACTTCTAAAACTACAAAACCTTAAACAAATGTAAACTACACAAACCCTATAATAGTATTGCTTATAATTTACAATATTGCTTTAAACGCGCAACCATTGCCTGGTAAGCTTACGTCGTATAAACAAGGGTGTAGGGCTCTTTTTACTCTAGTTAGGTTAAGTTTAAAGTGGCACTAAGTCTACTAATAGGAATATTTGGATAAGGGAATATAAGTAGTCACTAGGATTTTATGTGCCTCTAGGCGGTTTCTGACATTACGTTCGTTGTCTTAAACAAATATTTCTTACAGTTCCATAAGATTATGTTATTATAAATAATTTGTAAAATATGGGAATAATAATATTTTCGTTATCTAGAGACCGACCAGTAGTCGTCCGTGCCAGCATATACCTAAGCATTTCCTGAAATTAAATAACACTGCTTTCCAATTATTTAATAAGTCTATTCATTATTTCAATCCCGATTTCCAAATAAAATCCTATATTTCTTTATGCTCAACAAGAGGTCGATACGGAAAAAGAATTGTTTGAGGTTTAACTAAACCTCAAACATTTTTTCATTTGATTAAAATAGAACTTTGTTTTTTGGTTTTGGTGTTGAGTTGAATTGTCGCTTAAATCTTACCGCATCTTAAGTTGCTGTGCAAAACCAAATTCTGATGCTGAATATAATGAGCTTATAGAACTGTAATGACCTGCATTGCATGCATTCTTAAACATAGCAAAACATCTAGGAAAAAGAAAAAATTCGATAAAGTGGGGCCTAAGACTACTACGATTTATAATTTGTTTTAATTCGATTAAATCGTAGGCAATTACAGAAACTTATACGGGAATCTGCGAAGTGTGATTGAAACCGCATAAGAACTTTTAAATTAGTTTGATAGAAATTTATGAATTTAAAATAATTGGTAATAATTGACAAGGGTTAAATGAATTTAATTGTTAATGAATTGACTTGCGAGGCACTCACTAATACTCTATAAGGGGAACAGTGTCAGCTCCACTGAGAAAATGCTTCATTTTAGTATATGTTTAATAAATTTGAACGATATAACACTCCGTTGAACTAGTATTTATGTAAATTAATTGTGTAATGTCTCTTCTTTTAGTCGTTTAATGATCCACTCATAAATTTATCAGCTCTCAGACTTAGAATGACTAGATCACACGATGTAAGGGTGTTTGTGTTTTTTTATCTACATCGAAACCCAGGTAGAAACGTTCTTATCTACGATTTTTGTAATTTTTTTCGTTTTAAATTTTTCTATAAAAGCTTTGTCACAAAATAACTATATTAATATGGAATCGATTTTCTCAGCCGAGCTACCACTACCATGGGATGGTCTAATCTACAGATTGATAGCGGCGTAAAGTCGCTCCGACGACGCCGGTGCGCGACCTATTATTCTACGTATTATTGCTTTTCGAATACCCATTTCTTCCCGAGCACCTCGTGCTCGTCTCCTAACCTAAGGTAGCCTAGTTTAATCTATGTTAATTTATTGCCAGTTACGTTTGACTTTTCACTACACGCGCTCGATAAAGGCATGCTTGGATGTATTCCCCGGCGCACACCCGCCTCTTTGCCTACGAATCAGAAAACAAAAGTGTTAAAATTTACGATAAGCCCAACGAAAGTTTTTTATAAAAATGTTTATAGTAAGGCACAAATAATTCCTAAAAAACAAGCTTATCCTAAATGTAATACAAAGTCGAAATGAATAAGTAAATAAATAAATTTCTAATATATTTTTTTACCAAATACTGAAAGTACTAAGTGGATCAGTAAATTTGAAAAATATTGAAACTGGTCTATTGAACGATTTCCTATGAAATGCTAATTTTTTTTCAAGTCTTTTCTTTTTATTACGTAACCATAATGACTGGCCATCGCCGCTTGGGTAGAGTTGAGTGATATTATCGTCTTAACTATTATTTTTTTCAGATTCGGTGACAATAATGCGATTGTATGTAACTATCTTTAAAATTAGCTTCATGTGAAACAGCTAACCTTCTCTGTCTAGGATCAAAGGCCTCGATGGTATTCTCATTAATATGTACAACAACAAGCAATGCTCTTTTTAATAGAATTCAAATATTTACAATTATGTACTATGTATTTATATTGATATATTATTTAGCAGATTGTTAGAAAGGGTACAATAGAAGTGTAATAGTAAATCGCATTATGTTACCGATAGTCTAGAGTGGCTAACAATGTGGTTTTGTATCATCACCCATCGCTACCTAAGGCACTGTCGCAGGGCGGCGAGGGCAGGGCACGGGCGCGGGGCGCGTGCGCGCGAAGCGGGTGAGTGCGGGGGCTGCGCGTGCGCCTGCTGCGGAGCTTCGGACGGAAAGTTTTGGCAAGTCCCTCATCGAGGGGCGGCGGCTGCCGTCCGCCGACGAGCTCGCCGCTCGGCTCTCGCATCTCGGCGCTTAACTTACTCCGTAATATACTCTCTAACCTACATTGCGGTTGTAAAAATCTCCTACAAAAGATATTAGTTTTCATTCATATTTCAATACTTCTATGTATAAAGGGGTATATTTCATCGATGAGTATATACATATTAATGCTTAACGTAACGGGACGTCTGTCGCTACGGCCTAATGCCGCCGCGGCCGCGGCGCTACGGGGTCGTACTTGATTCGTTGTTTGCGAAACGTTGCTCGATTTCGGCGTGGCGCGATCGCTGCTGCCGGTGACGGCCCCGGCGAGCGCGCCCACTACCTTTAATTTGTATATTTATAGTTATCATGCTAACAAGCTAAATTCATTATAATACTTTAAGTTTACGTGTTAACCATTCGAAGGTGGTTACGGTCCCTAGTTGCAGCGGTGTTCGGCGGGTTAGCCGGCCGCCGAGTCCGGCGCGGGCGTCGCATCGTCGTCGCGTACGCACGCTGACTCCTGGTGTTTGTTGAGGTAGCTCTTGAGTGCGAACGTCTTGTGGCAGCGCGTGCACTCGTAGTTCTTGTCGGTGGAGTGCGTCTGCATGTGCGCGCGCAAGTTGGAGCGGTCCGCGAACGCTTTCCCGCAGTGGGCGCACCCATAGGGCTTTTCACCGGTGTGGGAGCGTAGGTGGCCTTGCAGTAGCCAAGGCCGCGAGAACAGCTTACCACATACACCGCACACGTGCGACAATTGGTGAGTGAGCACGTGCATCGCCAGAGCAGGCATTGAAACGTATGCTTTCCCGCATTCGCCGCAGCGTTTCGCCGCTTGGGAGTCCAAGCTCCGGTGCGTCTGTTTGTGGCGCGATAGATTGGATGAAGTCGCGTACCGCTTACCGCATTCGCTGCACGTGTATTTGGATTTAGGTTCTGGCTGTTGTGCGCTTTCGACGGGTGCGTTGGCGAAGTTGCGGCGCTTGGATCGGCCATCGCTTACGAAGAAGGCGTCATAGGTGTACGCGACAGTTTCCCGGGGACGCTCTGTCGTTTCCGGCGCCGGGGGCTCCGGTGGTGGTGGTTCAGGAGGCGAGGGTTCGGAGCGCGGGGGGGTCGTCAACGAGCTACTTAAATAGACAGCATGCTGGCTGAGATCGAGAATCGCGTGGGCTGCGTTAAGGTCCTCTTCGGCGCGGTGGAGATGCGCCGCGCGGTCGCCTAGACAGTACGGTCGGTATATATCCTTCTTCTTGGGGGGCAGAGATAGTACGGCACCAGTGCTAGTGTAGCACATGGAGATAGACTTGCCGCTCGCCGGTGGCGGAGGAGGAGAAACAGGCGAAGACTGGAGCTGCACGTGCAGGAAAGGTGGGTCGGTCGAGTCAGAGGAGAGGTGCAGAAGGGCGTAGGAGAGAGGCTGCGGCGCCGGCTGTGGGTCGGAGGCGGGGGCGGGGCCGGGCGCGGCGGTTGCCGGGCTCACCTCGCCTGGCAGCTGGGCGGTGAACTGACTTGAAGGCTGCTCCTCGGTGTAACCTGCGTGTAAAAGAAGATAATCAAAATGTTACTAACGATTAATTTTGGAAAACATGTAGGTAAGTAATAACATTATTTTTCACGCGTTATTGCTTAGCTATAAAACATTTAGAATTAATAAGGAAGAGGTAAGAGAGTAAATAGAAATGATGGAAGTATTGCTTACTTTCCTACCGCTGATTGAAAGTAAGTACAACTTATTTAAATGGAGTAACATATACATATCACACGTAAACAAAATAAAAATTGTAAATGCATCGCGCGATCGCATACTGCTTCTATTAAATCGTTTAAAAGTGTTTCATTAGCAAGGTAAACACAGTATCATAATTTATATTTAGGTGAGTAGGTTTAAATTATATTATAAAGAGTATAGACAAGCATATATTATGAGGTATAAGGCATGTTACCATTAGTTCGCTTCTTGAACGTTAATACACATTACATTATAGGTGCAGTGTGGAGCGGGCATCCAAATTCCACATCAATCGAATCAAGGCGGGAATCATGTATGAGGACAAGTCGAATCGAGGGCAGGGTGAACGTTAAATTGTTACTTGAATAAAAAACAAAATTTTACTAGAAAAAAAACCACTCGTTCATGTTTTCAGACAGGATTCGAACACATCGCCCGCTTACCGCTATCCTAGCCTAGTGGATTCTTTTCTAATAAAAAATTCTTTAGATTTAAACATATAGTAGTTAAATGAATAAAAGACAATAAAAAAGAATCATTTCTGTCTGATTCTGATCATTTTATATTACAAATATAAGAGAAGTACGGCAGAGCGATATACCGCTCGAATTCAAACGTAACAATAAAATGATACGTTGTGTCTGTTAGTGATTAGGATTCCAGCTTTGCGACTCCACGGGGTTGGGGATTGGGTTCAGGTGGAGATAGCAGGAGGAGAGTACATTATTTTGCCCCATCTGCTATTTTCGCATCTAGACTTCATGTACACTTAATATTAGGTGGGTAAGCAATTAACTGCGACTTGTAGTTGAGAAATTTCCTGTTTAGTTGTTTGTGATATTATTAAAGCATCTATTAAAATTAAGCCCCCTGGAAGAAGCAACTTTAATTATAATGAAGATTTTATTATATCATAATTAGTACTTATGTAGATTAACTTTTATAAGTGTTATGATATTGACGAACCAAAGAGCAACACAGCTGACGCGGCTGGGAGTAGCCATTATGACATAATACTACTGAAATCATTCATGCCGCTTTTTGCGGGGGGAGGAATATGCACACAAATGCAGCTCAACATACTTTCGCAAAAACGAAATTGTAATTACGACACTCACTCGTAACAAATTATAGCTCTAAATTCACACACATTTTGAACATGACAGATCTGAAATTTGTACCGGCGCGTCTATTGTTTTGTCAAACAAGTCCGACGATTGAATTTTATCAAATTAATATGAAATTTTGTGTTTAAAAGTGGTTAAATAGAAATAATATGTTAATAATGCTACTTATATGTGAAATTTAACACCATCCTTTTGTTAGTTTAATATTACAGATATGTTTTACAGCAAATTATAAAATATTGGCAATTCTGATCTCTAATATACACTCGCGCAACTTGACTCAGTCCAGTGAAATATCCGAGTGCGGCTTAGTTTTGTTTTTGAGCTGGCACAACAGCTGGGGAAAATCGACAGAGGGGAACGCTGTGAATGCCTTTGCCTACTCCCCTCCTGGCCGCGTCGGACGCGTTGCTCTATGTGACGAACCCATTGAAATTTTATTTTGAGTCAAGAGGTATTTTTTTTTTCATTTTCAACACCGAGATGAACAGCTATTGGTTCAGAGTGGTTCTGTTTAATTATGGATTCCCTACCTTCAATCGGGATAACTTATTTCCACTGGTAATCACCACTGAGCTTATTACTACTTTTAGTGAAGTGGTATAACCTACCATCAACTATCTGGAAATTTGGACAAGCTCTAGGTCTGTCCGTACAGCGTTTAATTATATTATTATACCCTAGTATGAGTTCGCTTCTTGAACGTTAATACACATTACATTAAAGGTGCAGTGTAGAGCGGGCATCCAAATTCCACATCAATCGAATCAAGGCGGGAATCATGCATGAGGACAGGGTCGAATCGACAGCCGACTCGTAAGTCGGCTGTGGTGTCAGTTGTACCTATAGATACCACTTGAACAGAGCGGGATAACGCTTCAGGTACTACCTTTAATGAACCACTACGTGGTTCTATTACAAAATTATAGGGAGATAATCTGAAACCCCAAAGCGCCAAGTGACCGGTTGGATTTTTAAGCTTTAGAAACCATTTCAGACTAGCATCAGATCGGTAATAACACGGAACGGCCTACTACTCTCCTCCTCTCTCTTCCGATAGGGACAGAAATGCTCGACTACATGTACTACAGCTAAAGCCTCACGCTCGCACGCAGAGTAATTTCGTTCGGCAGGGGTAAGTGAGCGACTACAATATGCGACCGGGTGTTTCTGGCCGTCTAAGGTATGAGTGAGGGTACCTCCAATGCCAAAATCGGACGCGTCGCAATAAACTGCAAATTCTTTCGTGAAGTCCGGACATGCTAATACTGGAGCACTTGTGAGAGCTGACTTCGAGTCCATAAATACATGCTCTGCCTCAGCCGACCATTTAAAGGGAGGGGCACCCTTGCGCGTTGAAGTGAGAGCATTTAACGGTCCTGCCATATGGCTCAAGTTTTTGATAAATAGCCTATAATATGACGCGGTTCCTAGAAAACGTTTCACCTCCTTTCTATTAGCCGGTATGGGAAAATCTACGATAGCTTTTATTTTATCGGGATCGGTACGCAAACCATACTCATCAACCACGTGACCCAAGTATTTCAACTGTCTCCTTACTATTACTCCTTACTATTAGTAACTTATCATTACCAACAAGCTGCACGGCTGACATCTAAGGCAGTAGACTATTATTGTTATTCTTATAACTCAGATCTGGAGCTAAACAAGACTGGGTCATTTTAGATAGTTCACTAAAATGTTGGGACGTTCCTTAGCACCTTCTAGAAGTCTACATTTGCGTTTCAAATCTGTCCGAGATTCTATGGGATTCAAAACTAATTGTGTAGCGTAAAAAGGTCTGTTATTAATAAGAACAATATTCAATTTCTCCTCTTCAGAGAGTGACTTTAATAAACGAGTAAAATAGTTCTGTATTATGCTAAGATAATTTACTATGCTCTCATCGGACCCATGGGTGCGAGACCGGATCTCTTGTAATAAACGATGATCATAATTTGATGGCAAATATTCATCAAGAAGCAAGTAGAGTTAAAACTCTAACCAGCTATGTACTTCGGTTTGCTCACCACGATATCAACAAAGAGCTTCGTCTGTAAACAATTCATGTGCAGAATTGAACAATTTACTATCTGTAACACCATGAGACAAACATAACTCCTCAAATCGCTGCAGGAAAGTCTTAACACAGGTTTTCTCATTAAACCGTATGTTTAGTTTAGGTACAGCAGCACCAGAGTCAGGGGAAGCATTCCCAGTGCGTTCAGAAGCAGCATGGATTCTGCTAGGTTCTTCCGGAGGCAACTGCGTTAAACTACTCTTAAAATGGTGCATAATGTTATCTAACTTAACAAGAATCTTATCCAGACATTCCTGCAGCACTTCTAATTGAGAGGCTATGCTGTCATCATTATCAGAACCTAAACGACTAAGTCTATGAAACAAGTGATGTGCTAAAGACTGTATACGGTAAAGTGCCTTAAGAGAACCAGCTTAAGAAGAAGTTTGAGAAGTAAGATCATCAAAACTATCTAATATCTTACTCTGATTTCACATCTACCTCACAAATTAATATTTCATCAGAAGGTAAATCTTTATTTAAAGCACGTACCTGTGCCTTTAAAGCAGACATACTCTCGACAGTCTTCGCAACCCTAATTCTAACTTCATATTCTAACACATCTTTGTGTAATAAGTTAAAAGTGATTTGCCTCTGTTCAATTTTGTAAGTTAAAATTACTTTTAGTGTGGCAAGATAAAGAAATGTTCAACAACAAAGTTAATTTATTATAATAATATGACCTACTAATTTAGGTATAGCAGTAAAATGAGTAGGGTTGTGACCAGTGACGTTACACCCCTCAGGGTTGAAAATTGTGAGGTTGTGAAGGGTTAGGTTTTTAAATGTTAGGTTTCTCTTTATGAGGTTCAAAAAAGTGAGGTTGGTGAAGTAACATACCAAAAATCAGAAACAAGAGTCTTTTTTTTTTCTTTTAAATAAGGTATTAAAAACGAAAATATTTTTTTATTGGAAATTTTGAGCCAATATCTATCATCCGATGTTACAAATTATTATGTTTACAACACAATTTTAAGTTGACAAACTAATATTTAGATATAAACCAAATGATTCAGAGAAAAGCAAACAAAACATACACCAATACCGATCAACTTTCTTTGAGCAATAATTGACCAAACAAATAGCAAATTAAATGCTACAAATGCCTTTCCACTTGTTCGGGCGCCACATGTGTCTCTTTCCACTGCTCCCACTAACTTACCTCAGAAATCAATGAAAACAAAGAAAGAAAACAAAAAAATAGACCTTTCCGAGACTAAATAATTAAGATATTGTAAGCAAACTACCGTCAAACCACCGGCATTCGGTATAAAAGGCGAGCGGCGCGCGCGTATGACACATTAACTTCTTGGCGCGCGAAGCGGACGGATCTGTGATCGAATCTCTGTCGGTTGCTAGTGTGATTCTTATAATAATAATTAAATTAGTGTAAATATAATAGTCGATATTTCTATTAATTCAATGGTGATTATGGTGAAGTGCACAATTTAAAAAGTGTTTTATGATTAAATAAGTGTAAATAGCGTAATTGTTCTAATAAATTAAATTAGTAATTGTAATACAAAGGATAAAAATTGAGTAAATATCGTCTAGTGTTTCTTTTTTTTATTATTTTACTACTTCTGGTTTTAACAAT